TGAGTTATATATACAATCAAACTTCTGAGTAACGGCCATTTACGGTAACGTAAAAAAGCCTTGAAGTGGTCGTTGTTTGAAGGTTATTATGTGTTTTAAAAATTAAAAAAAAATGGCCGCTGTTTAGAGGTGACCGTTATTAGAGGTTCGATTGGAGTAAGATTGAATACCTGTGATAATACAGAAGATAAGCTTATGCAAACAAGTTTTGCAACGATCAATCTTTATAACTTCTTATTTCTTGAGTAAGTCGTCAAGTTGTAGGCCAGTTTTTAATTGTTTTTAAATCACTAGCAAATATATAATGCTTTATTTTAATTTTTACACGTTTATTTATCATTAAAATTTACATTTTATCATTGCTTCGTTTCAAACTTGCATAAAATAATAAAATAAGACCGCACAAAGTTCGATCGAGCAGCATCGAGTTTGTATTTTACATGGAAGATTCACTTTGTTATCTTTATGTTAATACTTTCATTTTAATTAATATAGTTAATTAAAATAGAAACTTTAATGCAGCATAAGAAAGTTTAATGAACCGTTTATTAATAATTTAAGTAAAATGAATTGAAGTGTAATAAGACTTGCAACAATAATACTAATTTACTAAAGTTTCGATAATATGAAGATACAATGCAAAGTTTTAGAAGAAAATACCTTTATTTATTACTTATTGTAAGATTCTTTGAAATTATATTAAACTAAATGTTGCTTACGTATATAAAGTCTTTCCTACATCAGTAGTTCTCAACCGGTTATACGCGTACCCCCAGGAGTACGCAAGAAACATGGGTTGATGCTACACGGATGGTATAGGGCAAGAGTGGCCAACAGTTTTTGCCCCCGGGCCGAATTGGAAAGAAAACTTTTTCACGGGCCGAACCAGAGTCTGCCCTAGGAAGATTTTGAGGTGGTGCGAGATCTCATTGTGGTGTCACCCCGTACAGACTAAATTGTACATAGGGATTACAGATACATTTTTCACATTATCACGCTTTATCAACATTCAACGTTGTACTTAAGACATTTTTACTGGAGGGTTAACTCTAAACGAACAGCGGGTTGTTGACCTTTTTTTTTAGGCGTCAGAATGTTTCATCAAGCTATTCGGACTTGAGTAGCTAATATTGAAAGATTAATCGCGGGCCGCATAAATTCATTAGCCGGCCGTATGTTGGCCATGCCTGGTATAGGATACGCGAACAAAAAAGGTTGAGAACTAGATGCTGATCGTATCTACAACATACAGAACTAATATACTATATATGCATACGATTAAGATTATAAAGGATGATCCAAAAGTCAGTTAATCAATATATATTCGTTTAGATTATTTTAGAAACGGTTAAAAACGATTTTTAACCGAATGATAAACTATGGATAAAATTTCGTAAATTTAATTAAATTTTAAAAGGTTATTTATCATTAAATTTCACTGTAATTCGAATTGTAGATTATCCGACT